GCTGTGGGAAGGTGGGCCGCGGGATTTCCGTGCTTAGCAGACACTGACGGTAGCTATCCGCCCCTCCACAGCTGGACTGGTACGCTTGGGTCCCTAACGCGCCCTGCACGATGCGGCTGCCCCCGCCAACCACCAAGGATGTGACACTGGAGGTGGTGATGGCAACACTGCCCAACTTTCATCAGGCTTCTCTCCAGATGTCCATCACCTGGCAACTGGGCAGACGCCAGCCCATTATGGTGAGAGCCTGGTGCCCGGGTCGCAGGAAAGCGGGTGGATGCAGGGAGGTGTGGCACCCCAAACTGAGCATCAGTCCAGCTCTTAGCTGCCTTTTCCCCTCCATTCCAGGTGGCTCTGGGTCAGCATGAGGAGGAGTATTTTTCAGGCCCTGAGCCCAAGGCTGTGCTGAAGAAGTTTAGGGAGGAGCTGGCTGCCCTGGATAAGGACATTGAGATCCGGAACGCAAAGCTGGACTTGCCCTATGAATACCTGCGGCCCAGCCTGGTGGAAAACAGTGTGGCCATATGAGCACCCCCAGCCTTTGGCTGCTTCAGTCCCCTTCCAGCCAAGCCACACCCACCGCTTAGTGCTGTCAGTCTTGCCCGCCCGGAGCCCCATCCTCTTCCCAACTCCCACCCTCAAAGAGTCACCTTTTCAGTGTCTATGCCTAGTGAGATCACACTTAACTCTGGACGCCCCACCTAGGGACCCCCGTCCTCATTTCTTCCTCCGCCTCCCCTTTCTCCTTCATCTTTCAGATCTCCCACAAGGCAGATAACAGCCCCACTGATACAAAGGGTTTCAAGAATAGAACAGGGTAATAACACAGTTTATTCTACAGGAATCAGATAGGATTTTGAACCTAAATCGAGCTTAATATCAAGAAAAATATATTTGAGACTAATGAAGGAAAAGAATGTAGTCCAAACGATCCTAAAGCAAACACTGGCAAAGAGTATACCACTCGTCTTTCTAACCAGGTAGGATTTCCCACCTGTCCTGAAACCAGACACAACACAAAGCCAACCATTAACACAGCAATTCTCAAGATTTTCATTTCATGGCCGACTTACAAAATCATCCGCGCAAGTAAGTAACTCCCAG